AGCTTCAAACAAAAATTGACCAGAAAGTGAAGGCACCTGCACCCCACCTTGTCATCATGGAGGCGGCGGTGGCTTCACTACGTAGGAGACTTTGCCACATGGACTCCTGCAAAGAATCATGAATGAAAGAAGCATCCCCAGCAACGCAACCCCTGCGCCACCTCACAGGCACAAGACCTTCTGGTGCGTCAGCTGGATCCAAGCGCGGAAAGATTCTCTTGCAAATGTCGCAAGAGCACCCTCAGTTGGCAATGAAGCTCGGAAAGGTAAGATCACCACCAAGCTGTGGCGGAGCGCGCATGAAGCCACGGAAGGCTGACAGAGGTACTCCGCGCGGTGGAGTCTCTTGAGTTGCTTCACCTGATGCAACCTTTGGAGTAGCTTCATCTGCTGAGGCTTTGTTGCCAGGGTATTTGGCCTGGCTAGGAGCCAGTAACTGCAGCAGGCACACCTGACAAGCCTGAGGGAGAGGGCGGGGGCCTGCATCTGGCGCAGGCGGAGGCTCAGGCTTGCTTTCCACTGTCACTGGTACCTTGCTGCCTTGAGGCTGCTGGATGGGCATCGGTTTGGTTGGCATTGGCTTTGCCGTCCTCTCTTTCACCGCCCTGTCATAGTGGTACTGCAGCTGCTCGTACTTCCGCTTGGCAGAGCGAAGCTCTTTTTCAGCAACAGTTAGCTCATCACCATCATCTTCGATCAGGCACGGGTAGACATCAGCGCTTGAAGGTTTTGGCGCAGGCGGAGTCTTAGCCACAAATTCCGGGTCACGCCTCCACGTAGGGAATTCAAACTTCGACCGAGCCTGCAGCAATGGTATTCCACAAATCTCTAGTTGAAAATTACCATATGCAAAAAGCAAACTGAGCACAGGACGCTCTGCTGCCCTTCTTCCTTTTTGGCATCCGCAGAGACCATATGCACCTCCAAAACAAACATGTCGAGAAATCACCCAAGCCTGCGCCCTGGAAAAGGTGCAAGTCATGGTCCAAGTCATGAAACCAAAACGGCTGCAGAAGAAAGGCTCAGAAGAGAAACCAAGAACCAACATACCAACACGACATGACCCCCTGAGGACCTGACCACCACCCCCAAGGAGGTGCGCGCAAAAGCCCAAACAACTGCGGAACATGTACATGAACGCTGTGACATGTTGTGAATGGCCTCATGAACATGTTGTGAATGGCTTCTTGTGAGCATGCACATGTCGTGAATTCTCACATGTCATGAGTGTGATGAATGTGCACGTGGACCCTGACATGTCATGAATGTCATGAATGTGCCCACATGAACCCTAACTTTTCACGAAATGTCATGAATGCGCACATGCCTCCTGAAATGCAAGTTACCACCAAACACAGCAAAACCACCAAAACAACAGAAATCCACTCACACCAAACTCATTCTTAGGGGGGTATGACCAGGAAATGAACCATTTCCTATCCAAATCCCTCCATTTCCGGTTTCCAGTTCAAAACCCCCAATCTACAAAGGCTGGGATTCAAATGTTGCGTCGCAACGCCTTCGGTTTTGAAGCGCAATACAAAGGGTGCGGCGATCAACGTTCACCTTGATGATGAGTTGATTGCAAGCGAGAGTGAATCTGACTTGCCATGGGTCGTTGAAGAGTTGAAAAAGATCTACAAGCTGCAGATGGAAGGCCCTGTCACTGTACCGAAAGGTCCTCTGGGAGCAGGTGAAGAACTTAGCTATCTGAAGAAAACATACATTTTCCTGGAGGATGAAATTTGCATCAAGTCGAACCCCAAATACATCGAGAATTCGCTGAAGATTTACGGTTTTGGGAACAGGAAGGATAAGCAGGTGCCAGAGCATTGTTTGTTGGGACATCCGGATACCTCACCAGAGTTGGATGTCCATGGACAGTCGTTGTTTCGAAGTGGACTGGGGATTGCAATGTACCTATCACAAGATCGACTGGATATCCAATATTGCGTGAAGTCCCTAGCGTCATCGATGAGAAGTCCTACAGAGTTGCAACAGTTGATTTTGTATCGCAAGGGAACAAGAGACATGTCATTTTGGTTGCCATATACACAAGTTGGAACAAGCATGGCAAAGATCCTGAACAATGCTCCTCAAGATGACCTTGAGGAAACAAAGCACATCATGGAGGTTTTTCTGCGACAGTGATTGGGCAGGAAGTTTGTACCGGAAGTTGACGACATCAGTCATGATCTTGTTGAACAGTTTGGTGGTACTTTCTTACAGCAGGACCCAGAAAGCTGTAGCATTGAGTTCATGTGAGGCTGAAGTGCTCTCACTGACTTCAGGATCGAGCGAGGCCATTTTGTTGAAGGAAGTTTGGCAGTTCATGGCAGGAGATGAACATGAGATTTTGTTGGAGGCTCGCAGCGACTCGTCAAGCGGTCGTCAGTGGTTGCAACGGTCAGGCGTAGGTCGACTGAAGCGCATTGATGTTCGATTGTGTTGGTCGCAAAACACTATCCGTCGCAAAGTGTTGAGAGCATTCCCAGTTCCCACGCAAACGACTTCAACGCAAAGAAATTGACAGCAATGAGGCGGCGATTTCTACTTTCTTTCCTTGGAGCAATCAACAAGTTGAATGAGAACCATCGTATTGTGCTGAGCAAGTCGCATATTTTGTTGAACAGCAATGGAAGAATCAGGTGAGACTCGTTGGACGTTGGACAGGAAGCAGGTCCAATAAGATGTTTGCGCAATGCGCCATGATGGTGCAGGCTATGAGCTTGAAAGGATGCATGGAGCATGAGACCAATGAGGGTGTCGAAAATGACAACCGACAGCAGTTTTACTTGACCTTGCTGGTGTTGTTGCTTGTTGCTTTGTGCAATTGGGTGTACAACAATTGGAGCGAGCTTGTTGTGAGGTTCGGCCCACGAGGCCGGAAGAGGCGGAGAAGTGAACGGGATGAAGAAGAGCCAGAACCCGAAACTGATAGAAGAGTGGTTGGAAATCAGAATATTGAGCTGGGATCGAGCAGTACAGCTGAACCAATGACTTCAACAGGTCATGTGGAGCCCCGTCCTCCGTTGTTTCCACCACTGCCCATTGAACCGCCGGAAAGACGGGCGCCGTGGTCACCAGAATGGTTCACATACTGGATGCTGGGCAGAGTACAGAGGGGGATTGAAAGAAGAGCTGGCCGGATGACAGAACAAGAGAGAAAGAAGTATGAGAAACGGAGAGAAATTCTGAGGTCAACCCTGATGATTTTAGAACAACGCCCAGGTGAGATGGCAAGACGAAGAGCCCATCAGTTTTGCAAGTCGATGACAGATTTGTCGGTTGGTGAAGACAGTCCACAAGGACCTGATGTACCAGAACTTCCTGAACCAGGAGCTGAACAACCTACAGAGATGATGGAAAGTTTGGTGAACAACGTGGATGAAGATGACGGCTATTTAGCCAGAGTCGTGTTCCCGGAGGAAGCTTGGAAGTTTCAAGCGAGGCGGCGAAGGCTATGGCTAGACCTGATAGAGATGAAGGCGAGGATAACGAGAGTGAGATTTCAGACACTGAAAGTGAGGATACAAGAGTTGCACGATACCTTCACAGCACCATGGATGAGGTGTCGGATCCGGAGATGTGGGTGAACCTACATCATATTTCATCGGACTCCGGGAGTGACAACGAAGCAGAACAACCAAGCGGATCAACAGGACATTGAACATTGGTTGAATTTTACAATTTCAATCTTCAATTCGCGCGGGTAGGTTTGCTGACACATCTGAACCAGCAACCTACGGTATTTGCATGGAAGTGGTTCCTGACACAGCTGAACCAGGATCACTTGTCGCACTACGATTGTTGAATACTTGAGCATTTGATTTCGAGTTTGCAACAGATTAGAATTTACAAAGAACTTCTGTTGGAACGGCGCGAAACGTGTCGGGACCACCTATACGAAATGTATAGCTAGGGGTCCAGGCGGACATACTCCTGTGGTTGCTTAGAAGAGAGCAATGCCTGGAAACGTGAAAAGTTCGACTTAGACGCCGGAACTTTAAGGCGGCGTGTTAGACTTTTCTAGCTGTCCTACACGTACACTTGCATGTGTAGTATCTGTTCTTATCACTTACCGTGTCGTAGCGCTTTGGTCCAAAAGAGCGTGCTGCCTAACAGTTTCAAACCTTCCCGCTCACTAATCCTTGGAAGCTACCATCATGAGGCGGGTTGTAGCCCGCCAACGCGGCAATCAGAAAGGCTGCGCACACAGGGGCGGAAAACCTGAGAGGCGCAGGAAAGGGGTTTCAAACTCAACCTTTTTTACGCTCAAAAGGTTTTGTTCTGTGGTTGTTCTGATAAAAACCGATTGATGCAAGGAACGCATTCCCCACCAAATTGCTCAATTGGGAGGCCGATAGATTGTCCATTTTGTAGCAGCCGACAGCCCCACACCCTGCAGATGCAATTCTTCTGCCACAAGTTGATGTGCGTTTTCATTCGCCCTTTTTGGGGTTTCTGGTGAAAACATTTGAAGGAAACACTTGAGTTAGACCCCGGGTCCTTGCTGGTCAGCAAGGTCCAGCGGCGAGAAACCGCATTTGTCGCATTGGGAATCAAAAAAAGAATGGACAGACGTTGCATCGGACTTGTTGAATGTAGCCCGCTGGAAATTCTGGTCCTGGGACAGCCACGCAGGAGAATCTGCGTAAGTTGTTGTTCAACAAACAAAACATTTACCTTTGGGCCTGAAAAGTTGGACCAATCTCAGCGTTGGGTTGACCTGGTTTTTGAATCAAAAATCCTTCGTAAAGCAATTGTTGTTTGAGATTCAAATTCAGCCCATTAAATGAACGGTTTCCCAAGAAACCTGCACACACGACTCCGTACATGGCCAGCCTCCACGCCAATCACGATAGATAAAAGGTCGTGTCAAGTGACAATGAATGTCAGCTGGCATGCCATGCAGCGGGGAAAAGGAGGTAAGGAGCAATTCTCAAGACAACTCTCACATCAACATGAATTCCAAAATCATTCCAAGAGATAGGCAGCCTGTGATGTTTTCGATAAGACCTTGAAGATTTTCGAGAATATGGCGCTTTAGCGCCATGCAGTCCCTCCGCTGCCCCTTCCTGACTTTTGCAGCCCTGCTGGTGGCGCTCGCCTCCACCTACGTCCTGCGCTACGGCAGCTTGGCCGCCCGTGCCGCCGTGCTGCCTGAGGAGCGCCAAGCCTGGGCCAAAGGCGCTGAGCTCCGGGCGAACGCCAAAGGTGCCAAGCCTGGGCGCGGATGTTGCGCGGAGAGTTTGGAGCTGCAGCTCCCGGAGCTGCCCAGAGGGCACCTGAAGGTGAAGTGGCGGAAGGCGTCGGTGAAGCCTGGGGATGTGATGGAGATTCTGGTGGTGAATGACACGAAGTCGGGATCGAAGGCCAAGGGTTCCAATGGATCCATGGCCAGTTGTGACCGGGATCCTTTCACTTGCAAAGGTGTGGAGGTTACCAATGTGTTCGTGTGGCTGGTCTCCTCCGACACCCACCAACTTTCAGCGGACGTGGCCACGCCGGTGGGGCCTGGCCGCTGGAGCGCGCGCGTGGGGCCGCTGGAGCCGGGGAAATGGATGGCGCACGCGCTGGCCATCATCACCTTCCAGGACGAGCGTCACTGGGTTCAGCAGGGTGTTTATAGGGTTATGTGACTTTGAGGGCGCCAAAAAATAGCGATATTTCACTATTGTTTTATCAGTGGTCGCCATGGCCATGGTTCTATTTGTCATGGCCCAACAACACCATTTGCTTATGATTTAATATGTCATGTGTGCCAACGCGTTGACACACTTCCGTGGGAGGTGGCCAGACGCTTTGACATGCTCTGGCTCATAGGGCTCTTGCAATGTTGATTCAAAATATTCAAAAGCCAAAGGCAAAGGAACGTAACAGTTTGCAGTGGTATATTGAAAGAGCCTGCTAGCAGAGAACGACTTCTGTTTCCTGCGCCTACTGACCCAGTGCATCATGGCGTTGGTGACAGCAATGAATGGTAGAATTTGTGTGAGGAAGAAGTGGCAGAGACTGTTGTGGCATGGCTTAACCTGTCGCAAGAGGTGCGGGGTGGGGATTCATGAGTCAAGACTCAAGACCATTACAGAATATCTTTATGGTTATTGATGTTGGCTTGTTGGTTGGTTTTGTGTTTGGTTGATTGGTTGATAGATGTTTTTGTTTACTTGTAAACTAGTAACAAGACAATAATGTATACTTTTGCCAAGCTTGAGATTAGCCGCGTAACGGTTGGCTGCTCAGGCTTTGCCTTTGTCCTTTGCACGCTGAAATCGGACACTCTAACAGAATCCGATGATGAACCTGCCTGCCCAGCATTGTGGTGGGCCCAGCTTTTGCTGGATACTTTTGAGGAAACTTGGACGCGCTAACAATTAATGTAAAATATTTGGCGCTTTGGAAATATTTTTTGCCCTTCGACGAGCTACTCTCAGTCCCAGGCGCAATTCACACTTTGAGAAAGCTGGGTACACATGAAATGCTTCAGGTAGTGATCCTTTGACTGTCCTTTCATCCTGTACTGGCTGTTGAATTTGTTGATTGTTTGTTTCAGTCCAGCTCACATTCCCTGGCCTACAATCTTGGTCTTCAGTCATCACTAGCGTAGATCATAAATCAGGTTTTACAACGACAAAAACAAAGAGGAACCAACTGTGAACAAGAATGCAAAATCCATGAGCCGAACTGGTTGAAGCCTTTATAATTCGTTTTTCTAATCAAATCTGAATCTGTCTAAGCCTAAGCCTAAGCCTGTACTTTACTTTTTTCAGTTTCCTGTGTAGTGGTTAGTTGTGTTGGGTGTGGACCCGACCCGGCTGCAATGCCATTGCGAAATAGAAAGCAAAGATTGACGCGCCGGGAGAATGTTGAATACATTGTGAAAAAACTTCAGCGGCGACTTTCGAAACAAGAAGATCTTCGGCGAGCCCAATTTTGCCAAAAAAGGCTGTGTGGAGGTTGGGTTGTATCGTTCATTGGCTATGGACGATGCTTCACCAAAAAACTGTCGCAAGAAGTTTGCAGCCGTTTGAGAGTTCTACTGGACATGGATCTGGTGGTGCCACCGGATGAACACAAGAGGCTTCAAGCCTTGCTGATGGTGGCTCGAAAGAGAAGACTGGTGAATTTTGTTGCCAAACGAGCTTTGCAGACCATGAGCCATGTGGATGTTTGCGAGACTTTGCCCATGGAGGTGCGCCTGAAAAGATACAATGTTTCCTCTAAACTGACTCTAAACTAGGGTGGTTGCAGGGTGGAACGTAAAACATCACATTTCACCAGCGCCATAGAGACCTGGCTGCGCCTCCACTTCCCCGGATCGACCCCGGCGCTTCAGGACGAGTGGCCTCGGCCAGAAGAACCCAAAGATTCAGATCCGAAGCTCCTTGGGTTTAAACAAATTTGTGACGAGTCTCACCTGTGACCAGTTTCTAGTGACGCCCTTTCACAGGACATTTGAGCCTGGAGGTGGTGACCGAAGGGTGCCATGACTTTATATTGAATCCTGATTTGTAGAAATGAACGTGTTCCCTGTCGAGTCGGAGCTTATGGAAATTGGACAAATGTGTCTTGGACCTAAGTTTGGGGGTCATCCTTAAAACGGAATTGGATGGGTTTGTCGCATGTTGCAACTACCCTGCGCCATGTTTTTGGGCGGTGCTCAGGCTGGGCAGGAGAATACGATGATTGCTTGCCTGGTTGCGCTCTCTTCTCAGCAAACTGCCCAGGCGCCTTTGTAGCAGAAACTGCAGAATCATTGGAAGAAGGCCGCAATGATTCCTTGGCTGATTGTCTTTCGGAATGAAAGTGTCACCCAATCTCAATTTCACGCGCCTTTGTTTCTTGCACTTGGGAATGCCCTCTATCAACCTGAAGCTGTGGAGGTCATGATGAGGCCAAGGAGTTTGATGGGGATCAATCTCATTGGCCTGAAGGCTTTGCAAGTTTTCAGAGACTCTTTCATGGTGCGATGTGAATATATAACCGTTTATATAAGTAGGCAGAAGCCACTGAGGGACAGGCAGGCCTTCTCTTTCAAGGGCCCTTTTTTGCAACCTTCTCAGGTCACTTTGCTTGCCCCTGGTGTTGTACCTGTCCCAGCTTTCTACTGGCTCACCATCTCTTTGCCATTCAGCCCAGTCTTCCCAAGCAAGTCATCCATGAGCCTTCCCCAGGCCTGTTTTGCTCCCACCAATCCCAGTCAGTCCGCCCCGCCCACACCCAAATGGATGTGGCCAAGCCTTCTTCAGGCTCGTGGCTGCGGTCCACTACCCCTGGTGGCCACCACCTATTTCCACTCCACTCAGGAACCAGTGGAGGGACGCAATCATCTTCTCCAAAGATGTATTGCCCCATGGCAGGGTCTTTCTCCAAAGCCTTCTGCAGGCTTTTGACTTCATTGGTGGTCAGCTCCTCCCACCCCTGGCCATTCAGGTAGAAGTAGAAGAACTTGCCACCCCAGAACCTGATCCTCCACCCGTTCAGTTCATACCATGCGCCTTCTCCAGGCAGAAGCAACCACAGCAACAGCAAAGCCTTCTTCAGGCTCAGGGGCCCCACCACTACCACCACCACCATGGCTCTCACGGCAACTCTACAGCTGGTGAGCGCGCGTACTTTTGTTGGTTGTGTTTGTGAGTGCTGCCTGTATGTTGT